TTTTTGAAGGGGAGGGTAGATCTCACCAAATTCCAATTTTACTGCGAGAAAACTTCTGCTTACTTGCTGATTATGGTGAAAAGTTTGTCGTAATACATGTCCAAGGTCTCTCCTTTTGCTTTCCACCATCGCAACGGTAAGCTACACAATATTTTGTTGACAACGTTGAAATTAAAGAAATCTGGAAATAAGCTTAAAATAAAACAAAGAATGTTATAAGTTGCCACTGATCAAACATCACCTTTATTGAATTCCACGGCTATGAACTGTAAATGCCTAGCTCGATTACCAGCTTCTTTCTTAAACTGATTCTGGAGGCCCACCCAATTAACTTCAGCCATGGCTAATTGATCAATCTTTGGGCTCATCGCTATGCAGAAACACTAAAAAAAACCTCATGGACAGTAATAGCAAAGCAGAAAAGAGACGATGCAAAGGAACCTAGGAGCTCAGAAGAAGAAAGAAAGAAGAGAAATCTCACATCACGATTTCTGAGGACTTCTAGAGTGAGTTCCCCACAGTCACATGCCATGTCGAGTACAATATCACCTGTAAAGCGTGAGCGTGAGATTCAGACAAAAAACTATGTCGAGGTTTGCCACACCGTCGTTTATGTCAGCGAGTTCCACCACGGTAGCCGCTATGGCTCCATTCAGTTGCCAGAATGTGAGGTGGGGTCGAAAATCTTCCTCGCTGAAAAGAAGACCATGAAGATCTCGAAACAGTATATTGCTCTATCTGCATTTTAGGACAGAAAAGTAATCCTCACTCAAAGAGCAGAACACCAGCGTATATGTCATATCGGTCCGCAAATATCACAACACTGATCTCATCCTCCGCTTTAAACATGTTTTCATGAAAACGAAGCGACCACGATCGATTAGACGACTTCATAGCGTATTTGATATGCCTATGTAGTTCTTGTCGTACCATCTAGGCAAGAAAAGTGATATAGGAACATGGAATAAAAAAAGCAGATCATCTTCGTTGGAAGTTCACGCAAGTGACTCACCTGTAGACCGTTTTTCCAGGCAGAGCTTCTCTCTGTTGTGATTAATACGAAGTTGACTGTAATCTGGTCATCACCTTCATCGCATCCAATTGTTTTTTATTTGGCCAGTAGTCTTAAACAAACGTGAATACTCATGTACATAAGAGCTGTAGATACAGACGATAAGTATCTCTCATACTCTGAACCACATTAGTAATATGAACCTGCTTAGCATACTTCAATTCAACTCGCCTGTAACTAAAGCACCGCATCCAACACGGCAACAATTGCGCCCGTGCAATACAAAGAACATTCTTAAAGGTAAATCTGTAAACATTTACTTTTTGTCTTTCCTAGCGTGCTCCCCCTCGAAATAATCAACTTGACTCCAAAAAAACTCTACAAACCAGGTCCATCATGTGAGTTTACCCGAAAATAGGTATCAGCTGGAGCGAAGAGAAGAGCTTCAAGTTAGAAGCATGGATATGGCCAGACAGAGGCGGAGCCTGCACCGAATTGACGGCGCCAAAGTCAAATAGCACTAATTTAGCTTGACCATTGGCATTTCGCAGGATAATTGATGGAAAGCGCGAGCACGGTTCGGTCCCACCTACAATCCCCACTTCAGTGACCGAAGCTGTCCTAATAGGAGTCAACTGAAAGAGACCAAAATATGTGAACAGATCTCTAGCTCACGATTAAGTCAATCCTATTAAGATGAGCGTGGCTATGTCGAGATGACTCGCAACTTCACTCTAGATGACTTCTTGATGCTTCCAGCAGAAAAGTTGGGGAGGCAAGATCACTGAAGAGCGTGAGACTTATGCATAGAAGAACGCTAATAAAGGTACAGGATCTAGAACAGAACCCCGCTTCTAGTGATTTATATCATCCCATTTTACGACCCGTTGGCGTTTCGAGTATAAGTGGCCCTACATTAAAACGAATAGTAATTCTTCTTCAGCTTCGCTAGAGCTGCAGCAAAGTAAGGACCTCTGCAGGACGATTCATAGATATAATTGCTTTTTTCTTGGCATGACTACTTAGTCAGAGGCTGTGATCCGCTTGAGGGCATCGCATGTCAAATACTTTGACGACTGAGCGAGCGGGGAGCGAAGTCTGACATAGACTCAAGGTTGCAGAGTCCGCGGATCCGTCCTCCGCGATTTGGCCGCGATTCGCAAATCTCAGTGCCTCATTCAACACTTGAAACACGATATGAAAAACCAAGTATAGACAGTAAGCTCGTCAAGCCATCACACATCAAGCCAGAAATGCTGCGGATTGAGGCACACACCGAGCGATATGCACTCGTGATTTCTGATGATCCGTCACGCTAGTTAGGAACTATTTAATTTTTTCTCTCATGGTCCTGCCGCCGCCTCTACAACAACATGACATATGGGAGAAATGGGTGAATACCTAGTACTGGGGAGTAGGACCTGCCACAAGCGCAGGGGGTTAAAGGCATGAGCTCAAATCATCTCGTGGACCGTCGGCACGGACCGCGGGATACTATACACCCCCCACCTTCTAACTGATTGTCCGATTTGCACTACCTAAGTGTGGCATATACAGTCGATCGCGCCAATGTCTAACTTATTCGAGCGTGCGATCGTCGCGATCGCATGGTCACTATATCCAACCCACACTCGGTTGTGCGATCGAACGATCAGCCCGTGAGCATCACTTACATTATTACCCAAGCTATTAAAACTTCCCTCAATTGGCTCGGGGGGGATACATCTCAAATCGCTCAAACAACGGCGAAACGCTCCGTTTAGACTGAAGCTTGTGATGTGAGGGGGGGGGCTGTAACTCCGTGTCACGAAGCAAAATTTTCATTATTTCCGAGTGTTCGCCCGCTGTTTAGACTTATCCTAGATCACTTTCCTCAGAGTCACATTGCTTCCTAAATCTTCTTACTTCCATGATCAATTTGAAATATATTCACAAAGGCTGACGTAAACATCGGAAAGTATTGGAAGGTGCTTAGTCTTTGAATCTCTGTGGGCTCCAACACCTTGTTTAATGAGTAAACAGAAACGAAAAACGGAGAAACCTTTTCACTACTAACCAATAGGACAGTTGGGATGATCGTCACTTGGACTCATTCTGTTATGATAGATCTCCAAATACACTTCATCAGCATATCTCAAATCACGTAGCTGCAGAAGTACATCAACATCTTCCTCTACAACCATCCAGAAAACCGTTTTCGATGGAGAGCACTCTTCGTCCACTATCCTAGCCTTGAAAAAAATTGTAACCTTGAAGAAAAAACAGAAGAGACAATAGGGAGCAACTCCAAACCTACCTTCATTTCCACTAGTTCACCAATTAACGATTCGCCCACGTTCACGGCATGAGTGGCTAGCAATTTAACTACAGTCATGTTGTCAAATTCGATTAGTCGCTACATTAGTGAATGAGCAGTATTAATGACAGAGCTACAGCACCCGTGAGTCATGGCACATTTTGCAAGCGATAAAAGAGCCGTGAAGTATGTGGTCTTGGATGCAATTGCCCGTGAATAACATTGCTTGCGTACCTATTGATTTTCTTGATATTTTCGGTATTTGCTACTTTTATTTGTTAAGCACACATTTGATTCAGCTTTTGTATGAAGATATGGAAGTGATTCCAGTTGCGAGGTTCGTGAATATTATTATGTTCCCTTTCCAGATAGTCGTATGGTGAAACAGCGGAAGTCGAAGGGTTCAGATACCCTGCAAAGTCCCGGTGAAGTTGCTGCCCCGGATTTGACGATTAGTCCGATGAAAAAGGCAAAAACGAATGGTTTAATGGAGGAGGTGAGCACTTTTGCTTTGGCCAATGTTTCCTTCTTTTTAAAAGCTATCCTAGAGACTTTTCGTGGATAGAATATGAATCAGAATTTCTCCGTTATAGCAGTTTTCTTGTGAAACAGCGAATCTCGTCCTATATCGCAGGACTTCAGACTCGGTTTTCTTCCCCTCCATTACAACCAGAGGATCTTTTCAAAGTAGCGGCTCCATCATGAGTTTTGCGGATGAAACTTGAGTTACTTAGAGGTGTCCTTTACGTAATGCTCTGCGATATAACAAGATACTAAGGCAAGAATAAGGGCGCTCACGACATGTAACCGACTGGCCGATGTCAGACTTTGCGATTGGAGCGATTTTGCACCAATTGCAGGAGCGACGGATCGCTTGAGCGATGCGAGCGACGGGAGATTTACACCGCCGACCACCGATAATTCGGCGCCATCAGTTCGTAAATCTCCCGTCGCTCGCACTGCGAGCGACGCGAGATTTACCCGCCGAATACCGATACACACGGCGCCGCTCGGGTAAATCCCGTCGCTCGCATTCGCTTGTAGCGATCCTCGCTCCTTCCCGTTATGTGCAAGCCTCGCTCCAATCGCAAGTCTGACATCGGCACTCATTTGATAATGCCTTTGATAAGCACGCAGTGTGAGGATGTAGATAATGCAATTTTAGATTTGGGCCTCCAATCTGTCCAAGACAATCGTCTGACCCGGGCATGGGTCTCCCTGTCCAGGCTGTAGCAGCGAGGCCTAGCGTGGCGAACAGTAGGTATTCTGTGGGCAAGGTGTGTAGATGGGACACTCATCAGCTCTTGTCAAAAGTACGCACAAATGAGTCCTCTTTATTTTATCCTTATGATAGAGAGCCCAAAAGAGTGTTCCTCAGTACTAGGAAGTATGGCATGTCTCTCCCTCCCCCCCTCTCAACTCCATTTTCGCCCATCTGGGTTCTACTTGTTCCGCATGGGGTGCGATTCGAAGCGAAAAGCGATTCTTTGCTCATTGCACTCGAAACTTTTTCGGCAAGTACCCTAGGTCCACCCTCATTAGTGGTGGACCTAGGGATCCCGCAGCGAAAAAAGTTTCACGCCGCAAAAGGCGGAAAAGCTGTTTTCTGTCTCAGCGAAAGACACTATGCCGCATGTGAAATATTGCAAGAGGATCACTTGTACCTATGTCCCTTAGTGAGCCTACGAAACATGCCTGTAGCTAGCTCTCTTTTTTACGAGATTCGTGTCTCACGGCTTCTTTGGGGCGATCGTGAACACTGTGTATAGTGCATCTCAGACTGGTTTCCCTAATCAGGTGCATCATAACTGTTTATGACTCTAATGTGCTCAACCAATATAACGCAAATTGAATGGGGAGCGCTGTCCGTATTGCATTTAAGAGGCATATAATTGCTCCTACCTAATCCTTGAGGGATATCGAACAACACTCGCTGGTTTGGTAGAAGGCCAATCAAAACTGGGCTTGCATTTTGATTGATTCTCAGTTACTGGCATTTCATTTAAAATTAACTAACTCTCGCGTGGCAGCAGCTAACAGCTTCGCTTATGCGGTGGAACCGTCGGCTTTCAAGGACCAGTCCAAATGTTATCTCAGTAGAATAAAACTCCTATCTAACCACTTTTCAGTCAGTTGTTTGTCTGGATACAAGTAAGACTCCAGGAAATACATGCATTTTTAAGGTTGACATTGAAGGAGAGAATCTTAAGGAGAATGGTGATACACCAAAAGGAAAGAAAGCTAAGCCTCTTACAATGGGCCAACTCGCAGAGCAGCAACGGTCGGTCTAAGAGATTTCACTCTTTAGGATTGTTGCGCTTTCAGATTGCACAGGATTCATAGTACAGATCTCGTGTTCAGGGTCGAGAGTGAAGAGAAACCTCCGCAAACGTCTGGTGGTGCTTCTCTTTCAGTTCAACTCACTCAAGGTCTCATGTCCAATGATGTGATAAAGCTTGATAGCGTTCTCCGTGAGGTCAGAGTCGAGATCATACAGGTGATTTTTCTTTTTTGTTCGATTTCTTGATTTTTTGAGTTTTACTGTGAATTTCTTTTGTATAGCAGAGCTCTTTGTCTTGAATATGACTTTTCGCAAGCAACTCATTGCTATTGTGATATCTGTATTGCATTCAGGCAACACTGTTGGATCTCCAAGTGTCTCATGTGGTTCCTCTGTTGAAAGCTTTGTTCGAAAGACTTAGCAGTCGGTCTGCAACTAAGTGAGTGCTCATAAGTTTTTCATGAATTTTCAGTAATGTCAGAGAGTCGGCTTTTGAAAAACTGTTTTATTTTAGTATAAAACCTTGGATCTTGTGGATACAGTGCATATTATCTCTTCATGCGTCTTATCTGAGTTCGGTAAGATGAGTTTAAAATCACAGACACGTTTACGTTAAATGATTCGAGGCTAAGCTAGGCGTTCTCCCAGTGGGGGGAAGTGCTTTCTAGTACAAACAGCGCTGAGTACGGTAGTGTCACTTTTGGAAAAATAGTCTATTGAAGTTACAAAGCGCCATGAGCTTTATTTCCGCGCCATTTCGTCGAGTTTTTTTCTAATGTCTGCACGCTTTTGGTAGTGGATGTTTCAAGGTAATTTTGAGCTAGGCTTCCTAAGGCCATTAAAAAATAAGCTCGGGTGGATGCACATTTTCGCTTGTGCCAAAAACCGAATTTCACAGCCATGTGAAGTGTTTCACGCTCCCCGGAGCTCATTTCACTCTCCAAGTTTCGAGCAGAGATCTCCGTGGTCCTGGCCTATGTTGGGTGCTCCGTACCAAAGCCTTTCCTCGCTGATAAGCGTCCTGTGTCACTCTGATGGTCATGAAATGTGTTTTTCAAACCAAAGCCTTTCACTTGCTTCCTCGGCAGTTGCAAACTTGTGCCGAGGACAGTTACTTCATTTGACAATATTATTGGCCTTCTCTTACTCTGTAATTGTCCGTGGATAAATTTTCAGCCTCATCGGCATTGTTTCTAGATACGAAATCTGGAAACTGAATTAAGTGGACTGCTGGAGTGGATGCGTCAGCGTATTGGCCATCAGCAAAAAACTACTTGAACTCCATGGTAGACTGAGCATTGTTGGAGAACAGGTAATCAAGCTGTTTGCAAAGAATTGTCAAGTAAGACTTTCGAACGCAACAGTTTTTATAATCAGCTGCCGCTCATTAGGCAAAGCGAGGACCTTACTGCTCGTTTTTTTTTTGTATTGCGCTCCCTGCATGGTGACAGTAACAAACGTTAGTTTTTACTCGTGCGTAATTCTTTTTACTTTTGATTATCTGCTACCCTTTCAAATCCTAATGCTTCCTGCGGTTGGTTCGTCCTATATTTCCCACAACTTTTTCTTGATACGAGTGCGACGCGGTTATGAAAGTGTGTTGCTCTTGGCTCTCTTTTCTCGTCTGGTGTTTCAGCACCTTGTCTTTTGTTTTTTGTTCGCCTGAAATCGGTTGATTTGTGGTTCCAATCACGATGGCCATGGCTACCACTCTTTTTGGTGTTGTCACCATCAGTGCATGTCATTTCTTATTTAATCAGGTTAAACGTGCTTTCGGGAATTTCTTCACGCATGGAGAGTTTTTGAAAACTTTTTTTCGAATAAGCTGTAAAACTCAATGACCAGCAGATTCCTGCGCAGTGAAGGTCAAAGTTGTACTTCAGCATAATACCCATGAATCTAACCACGATCATTGCTAAAAATCGAGGGCATAATCTCGACAATGCCTATGTTTCTCAAGTTTCGAAGCCGCTCAGAGAACCACCCGGCCGAGTTCGAGTGGGTCAATTCCTGGCACGCTCCCTCAACTTGCTGGAAAGACTCAGACCGCCGAATTTGCAGGAAGCTTTCATTAGCGAAAATGACAGTACTTAGGTTCTTATTAATATTTTCGGCTGCATTTCGAATTATTAGGTATCTCTGGTAATGGTGACCAATGTGCGGGATAGTAGCAGATCAGCGGTAAATCTTCGTTTAGGACAAATGAGGCGAGCATAGCAGCAAGAATGATTGTGCGAAATTGACGCTATTTTGAAGTTTGATTGCAAAATTTTCATCTAATCAATTGACAATATCACTATTTTGGACGGTCATGTAGTGCCGAGTACTTTATTTTTATTTTCATGCCTCAATTTTGTTTTGAATGTACAGAGATTTTCAGATTGGACGTCGGATGAATCGCACAGTTGTTGTGGCACCGCAACCTCTCATAGTTTTTAATGATGGTTGGTATATTTTCTCACATTTCAATTCATGCTACACCCAGAGTGGCGCTTGTTGCCTCCAATTAGAGTTTCTCTTCCGAAATGGGACCAGGCCTTTAAAGTTTATTCCCTGGTGCGTTCGAAATCAAGAGCTGGGTTTGAAATCGTGTTGTAATCCTGTCTTTGCACACTTCTTCTTCTTTTTGGAACACTTGAAAGCTCTTGGTGTCTAGTCGCGTATTGACAGATTAGTGTCTGACACATTGCGGCGTGGCACATTTTTTCCTGCAGCATTTTAAACCTTCATTAATTTCATCAGTAATGCTATGCTATATGCGTTGTTTTTCTGGGACAAAAATGTAGGCGGGAAGTATCACAATATAAGAAAATGCTGAGTTTGAACACGAATACCATCTCTTTTTGATTGTATGCGCCACCATGTGGCGCACGCGAACCATGTCAGTGTTAAGTGACCGTCTATAGCTAGCTAATCTTTCCTGTTTTCTCCATGCAGTGCATTTTGTGGTGCTTATTCAAAGAAAGACGGGTTTGAAAGTGGTTTGAGCACTCTTAGGTTCAGCACATTTTGATTTATGCCTTAAACTTTTACTTAGTCCAGCACATGAACACCAAGACACGCTCAAAAAGTCTGGCTTTAAACGATGCAGTAGCCCACATTTTTGCTTTTCCTTTATCGATCTATCTTACTACATCTTGAGCTACCCTACCCACAGCTTTCCTTAGCTGTCGATGGTACTTCTATTGCGTGGGGTCCGAAAGTGTACTAAGACATTCGCTGACTAGATGACTCTCGCTTGGTACCGAATATTTGCCTACAAAGCAGCCTTGTGGTAATATTCGAATCGGGAGCATCTTAAACTGTGTAATATTTTTTTCGCATAACTTAGCTGAATGAGAGCATTACGACTACCGTTCTTTTTGGAGGGCTATTGTTAGGTACGTAGGCTAGATCAAGTTCTAGCCTCATCATTGCAATCGATTAGCATAAGTGACCTAATTACATTTGTCGTAGTGGTTTGGTGTGAGGCTTTGCCTAGAAAAGCTTGGAAATGAATTCACACCAGAAGTAATTGCTACACAACGAAATGTGCTGTAAAAAGCTTGTCGTGGGTAGGCCCGAGCTATTCTGCGCTTTCTTGTCATTTTATGTAGATGTAATTAGAAGCAAACAGGTCCATATCTTTATGGAGAAACGAGCTGGTTCCCCAAAAGTGTAGTGTTACTTCGAGTTATCGTCACCTATCGAGAAGGGTTAGGTTTGTGACGAATCTGGACGACATCAAAACAACAACAAGGCAGAGGTGTAAATGTTTCTTTTCAGATGTGCATTCTGATATAGACGATCTGGAGAGTGGTGGATCGGAAGAGAGTGGTGTTAGCAGTGATGAAGAAGAGGAGGATTGGTGGGATGAAGGTGGATTAGGAGCAGGCGATGAAGACGAGAATGAAGATGACGATGGTTGGTTTTGAAAGCTTGTCGTGAAAAGGATGTGAGAAGGTGATCATTTTTGTAGATTCTGATGATGATTCGGACGTTAACATGCCGACAAAGAGAATGAATGGTGATAGTGATGGCAGTGGAACGGATGACAACGATGAGCCAGAGGTGAAACTCGAGACATTCGAAAAAAAGTTACAAATCATATTGCCAATTGTGACTCTTTTGCAGGCTGGTGAGAATGGAGATGACGAAGGTGATGATGACGAGGAAGACGAAATGGATATAGGATGATTTATTCACATGCAGTGCCATCTTAATCGGCTTGCAGTAAGTTTCACTGAATTGTTTGTTAGTGATTTGTCCACGTTTTTATCATTGGACTCGTTGGTTTTTGTGTTCTGTTAGGCTGTGAAGGTTTCCATTTCGGCCTGTTTTGACATTACTGTTGCGTCGGTTTTCCTATGCCTTCCTTCTGTTGCCTTGAATTGTTATGCATCGACCGATTCAGAAATCATGCACATCTGACTTTTTTGTGAACATAGTGGAAGTTGTTGACGTTTTATCTTATTTAGTAAGACTGCGTTAAGTTTCGAGAGGTATGTTGAATTGTTCCATCGTTACTGTTATGTATTTTCAGCTTTTCATAGTTGCATTCTAAAATCTATATTCACATTTTTTCCTGATAACAAAGTCGTTGATTTGAGGAATTTCACATTTGAACTGTTTCTTTGGTCGCATTGGAATCGGTCAGAGTCGAAAATGTTTCACGCAAATCTGCGTCGTCATAGTTTCTTCTTTGGCGATTTCAGTTCAGGACTTGGCGGTGTGGTTCAACTTGTCTTTCTGGTTTGTGAAAATATCCGATTAATTTCACATTTCTATATAGCTGTTGTGTCACTTGCCTTAGTGTGTTACGTTGTTATCATTGTTGAACATTGCAGACATATATTCGATAGCCGTTTATAAATGGTTTTCAAACAGGGTTTCTGATAATGGTGTGGCAGTGGCGCTGTAAAGTCTTGTTTATGAGTTTTAGGAATTCGAAGTCGAACCGGGTTCTATGAAGTGGTGGTGATTAACTACGAGTTCGACCTTCGATTAACGTTCCACTATGTATGTGTGTATGTATGTATGTGTGCGTGAGCGTTGGTTGGTGGATGCGTATGAAGTGAGTAGTTTAGTCGGCGAAGATGGGATTCATGGTGTTGGTGGGTTTTTGGAAGCCGGCGGGTCCGGTGTGCATGAAACGCCGCAGCGGTCCGTCGGCGGCCGAACGAAAACAGGCTTCGGGCGAATTGCGATCGCTGGAAGCGCCGCGTCGGTCTAATTTTAGTGTGCCCTAGAATCGCATCGATTGACTAGCGACCCGTAACTACGAATTCTAGTATTGCGATCTGTTTTATGGTCTCTCATACCTTCAGTTATTCTTCTTCTTTATTGGCATTTGCTTAGCTAAAGCAGTCCTTATGACCACATCTTGAAGCAGCACCACACCTTTCGGGCGTGAAAACCAGACTAGAGTAGTCTGGTAGCGGCCGGTTTTTCGAATTCGTTCTCTTACAATCAGCCTAACGTGAAATTTCTGCGTCTGCTTGTGGTGTGCGTTGTGTGGTGGTGGTGTGTGTGAGTGTGTGTGTGTGTGTGTGCGGAGAACGCGGAATTCGATACATCGAACATCATCATCTCCATCAGCCGATTTGGTACTCCTCGTTCATCGTCGTCGTCGGGGTGAACCAGCTATTCAGATGACCTATTTTGCGCCTCGAATTTATTTTTCACCAATCTGATAACGCGCATTTATCAATCGCAAGCTTTGCGCTGATTGCTTTGCTGCACATTCGGAACAACTTCTATTCTGTTGCCTTAATTATTCTACTCTGAATTTCGCCGTTACTCATCCAACTTCTCGTCCAGATATTGAATGTTCAATCGAACCGGGCTCGCCCCAGCGCCAAATGTACCGAATCCTCGAAATGCGGGTCGAAAGAAAAGCAATCCGGTATGTGCCTCGTTTTGTAGTTCAGCTTTCGATTGTTTTACTCCCATTGATCTTTGAGCAGCGTGCTCAAGAAATTAAGGGCTCTGTAGCCCATTTTTTCTTCATTGATCTATTGGCCATTTATCCAGCTTCTATTGGCTACAATACGCCAATCTTACGAATACTGGAATACTTCATATTATTGGATAGAGTCGTAATGCCTAGTAACTGGTTCTATTATGCGTCATTCCAGTATTCGCTGGTCAGCCTTTTATTGTGCCCTTGCGACTTTTATCGCTCAAACTCGTTCAGCCGTTTTTTTCTCAGCCTCATCTATTTATTCTCTATTTGAATACTATCACTTTCTTTGAACAATTTATCAAATCCGTTCTTGGTTGTTTCCCATTCGGTCCCAGTCAGACCACTTCCTGCCGCTTTTGGAGCTGTTTTTGCCCAGCATCAGTTCTAGCAAGCCGTAGCGCGATCGTTATTGGCGATAAATGTCTTACGCGATGCATATTTCAGTTGCCAATTAGGATTCTATCGTATCGCCTATCGTGCCCCGCCGCCCGCCCTCCGAAAACGGGATTTGATCGCGAGGCGAATTTGGTGGTTGTCGACGACGTGCACACGCTCTTTTCTAGCGCTTCTTACGCTTAGACCATCGCATAAAAGCGTTCGCGACGAGGCCTTGCTAAGTAGACTGGAATTGAATTAAAATCGTCTTACTAGCGCTGAAATCGGCCCAATAACGCGCTGCTTAATTCGGCTACAGTACGCGATATCCCGTCGTCTCATTGAACTGCATACCTTATTACGTGGCGGTTATGTGAGGTTAACAGCAAACCAGTAACCCAATTTTTTCCAATCTATCAATTTCGAAGTACTTGGCTTCGAAGGCGATGTTTACCCTTTTTCAAAACCCCTCTTACCGAAGTGATGGTTGAGGTGCAAACGATGCGGTAGTCAGCTGGCAGTTGGCCC